ATCAAGGTCCATCAAGGTAACTTCACTCTTTTTCGTCGATAGACCATTCGTAACAATTTCAGCAGGAAAATGCTATAAAAGAAGGAAATTTCAATTAGTCTACACATAAACAATTAAAAGCAATTAAAAAGATAAATATTTAAAGGCAAGAAATTTTTTATCTAAAATATCACCATGACATTTTTTCCGGTCATAGATACGTTTCTGATTTTTTTCTCCCAATTGGGCATTATCCTGATTAATATTGACCTGAATCCTCAACATATTGATCACCGGAATTTATTTCAGGGAACAAAATATTTGGCTCAACATATTTTGGATATTGTTCACGATCGACATGCATATTCAAACCTCTTATTATTTCCATATCTTTCTCCATTGTATATAACAGAACACCGCGTGTTTAAATTTATTGTAAAAGAAAGAGCATAAATATGTATGAAATTTTTTTATTAGGATAAAATATTAAATTTTTGAAGAACATTATACTTAGCTTGCTAACTTGTTTGAAGAGGAAGGAGATGTTGAATGCAATGAAGGAATATGGTAATGAATGATATCTTGAAACTATTATATATATATATATATATATATATATATATATATATATATATATATATATATATATATATATATATATATATATATATATATATATATATATATATATATATATATATATATATATATATATATATATATATATATATATATATATATATATATATATATATATATATATATATATATATATATATATATATATATATATATATATATATATATATATATATATATATATATATATATATATATATATATATATATATATATATATATATATATATATATATATATATATATATATATATATATATATATATATATATATATATATATATATATATATATATATATATATATATATATATATATATATATATATATATATATATATATATATATATATATATATATATATATATATATATATATATATATATATATATATATATATATATATATATATATATATATATATATATATATATATATATATATATATATATATATATAATGGTTATGGTTTAAGGTATAAAAAATATATAATATTTATTTTATATTATTTAAAATAATAGACAAAAAAACAATTTTATAGATTTAGGGACTAATTTAAAATTGAAGTGCTCGGGATAGATAATTAGTATTAATATTTTTTTATAGGTAGATGAAAAGTTCCTTGAAAATCGAAATTGTTATACACTTTTATACATTGTATATCGTAAAAGTTATTATATCTAATAAATAGATATTAAATGCAATCATTCAATAAGCATTTGATACATGTGCGATATTATTCTTGAAATGGATTAAACACAGTTATTACTTCATACACGTAACTTTAAATGTTTAAAATATAGGTTTATTGGCTGATGGAAACATATTGAATGGTTTATTCGTCTATTCAGGTAATCATAGTTAATATCTTTTAGGTTTTGATTCTTTAACTTTCGACTGTAAGCCTTCCTCTAAGTTTCTCTCTGTCTCTGTCCAGTTAGTTTTGGATCGGAAAAAAATACTGAGGAAGCGGAACAATGGAAGAATTGAGTTCACGTTGTCATGGATACATTTCTTCTGATGATGGCTGAAGCATGAGGTATGAACCCTTATTCTAATCAATATTGTTCTATATTGTTATTCAAATCTGGAACTGATATTCATGTTCTCTACGAATTTCCAGATCAAACGGCTTAGGTTTTATTTTTTAAAACTATTTAGAAAATAGGAAAACATGAAAATGATATTACATGGTCTGAACGTTTGGATTTCAACATAATCTAACGGAATTTAAGAGTTTAGGGTTTAACTTCGAATAACATTTGATGTTGTTGTTCTACTGGTAAAATTTGTTACCTTTCTGATATAGATTTTCTTAAAGGGAAACCTAATTCATGTTCATTTAAATTTCCATTTTGAACATAGGGGTACATAATATACGGAATTATGGGTTCACTTGTTAAACATTACGAATTGATGTTCATTCAGATTTTCGTTTTATAATTTTTTTTATTCTATACATGACTTTATAATTTGATTTAATAATTATCTCCACTAGCCATGAAGACGCAATGGAAATAATTAAGGGATTGGTAGCTGAGACTGGGCATTTTTCTGCTAAGGGAAAGAAAAAGAAAGCTGCCAAGAAATGTCGTAGCAGTGACATATCGACTGCCACAAATGTGAATATCGCAGTTGTTTCCACAAATAATGAAAAACTTGTTCTTCATTGTATTAAGGAAGAACTGGTTGATAACACTGGGGAAACTGCATATAATATTGAGGTTCGTAAAAACATTATGAATGCGAAAGCTGATAATGTTGGAGATAGGACTGCAACAACAAAAAAGGATGCAAGGAAGAAACATGTTAATAGATTGGTAATCAAGAAAGGAAAACATAAAGTTGTTGGGAATGCAAGGGTCTTGAATGAATCAAATAAGAAATGTATGAAGAAATATGTGGCTAATGAAGCAAAACATAAAGTTGTTGGTGAAGCAAGGCTATCAAATAGATTGAAGAAGAAGTCTGATGAGAACTCAGTGGCCAAAGACGGAAAACAAAAATTTGTTGTGAAAACAAGGTTCTCTAATGAAGTCAAGGAGGAATGGTTGATGGGGGCTATGCAATATACTTGGAAGAGCAGATAAGAAATGCAAAAAGCAGTGTAAATAATGTTATGGTAAGCATACATTGTATATGATATATTTTGTTAACATCCAAATAGTACATATTTGATGTTGTTTTCAATAATATTATACGTAGCATTTTCCCAGGACAATAGCCAAAAGATGCCTTCAAATAATGCAAAAGGAAATCAACCTTATCAATGGCATTGGGTTGGTATGAATTTGCTCAGAGTAAAAGCCTCTGTAATGGTGATACGTTGGTTTGGAGTATGTTGCGGTTTTCTCTGTATGTGTACGTGAAGGTGGAAAGTAGTTGATGGGGTTGTTTTCTTGGCCTGAATGTTTTGTGTTAGGTCTGACTTTATATGTATGTTTTAGATGTTTTGTTGGAATTTCTTTTGGATATTTATGTAGTAATTTGAATTTATAAACTTGCGTACCTATTTATATTGTAAACTTGGCACTGCTAATTTATGATATTTTTTGTTTATTTGGTTATATATATATATATATATATATATATATATATATATATATATATATATATATATATATATATATATATATATATATATATATATATATATATATATATATATATATATATATATATATATATATATATATATATATATATATATATATATATATATATATATATATATATATATATATATATATATATATATATATATATATATATATATATATATATATATATTACATTATAGACAATCAAACATATTTATTTTGTAAAGCAACTAAACAACAAAATTCAATATAATCCTTTTTTTTATTATAGTACCCCTGAATCCATTACTATATACGTTATAGTAAAACTTAATATCTCTATAACTACATAATGGAAAATATGTTATATAAAAGTTGATATAAAGTTTAAAATATATGCCATGATTATTAGCCAAAATATATCATATTTATGTTTATATTTTGCATTGAGCATAAATAGTGTATTAATATTACATTATTCTGTACTTAATTAGTAGCCCATATAATAAGAATCATAAAACATCAATAACATGAAGTTTTCTATTTCACTTATCATTCGGCCAGTGCAAACAGGTTGGCCAAACTTTACAGCTATATATGTACAAAATATATTAGGGTTTAGACTTTGACTACATTAACTTATCTCTCATCATTTCAATGGTGAAGTTCGGCGAATACTTCCAATCATGTTCTTCCAGTAGGTATGTTGCAAGCACAAGAAATTTGTATACAATTTTTCTTTCCCCAACCCTCAATCATGCCAATTATATAAAGTGTAATGACGTTTTCGCTGAATACTTTAGTTGTTCATTTCTTGGCAGTAACCCAAAGGAAGATATGATTCAATTTGCACATAGGACAACGCAAGTGTTTTACGAAGAGCTTGACAAAAAGGTTAAATCTCTAAGAAAAGATGGTTTTTTTGATGAGTTATACAGAACGACTGATAGTAGCAATAAGATAACATGAAAGATTAAAATAACAGAATCTAATATGTCAGGACAAGATGGACTGGTATGGATACATAACACATTATACATCACCTTTTTTCTAATTAATGATTAAATTAGATATTGAAAACTAATTTTTCATATTTTATAGTATATTCCAAAGGATGTTTCAATAAAACGTTTCGATAAAGACCAAGATTCAATAAAGATGGTAGACCTAGAAGCTGACAAAGGTTACTGTGTAATTTATAGAGCTGGAAGAGATGACTTTGAGATAAAAATTGGACACGAATGGTACAAATATGCAAGAGAGAATATGTTGAAATTAAGAGATCTGTTTTTATTTAGCATGACTCCCTTATTGAATGCGATGGTTGTGCATTTGATGAAACATTGATGTTGAGGAATTTCCGATGGTTCAGATATATATTAAGGTGGGGTTCTAAAAGATGATGATATATAATGAAGTAGTGGTTCAGATACTGTTATAATGTATCAAGTTATAAATTATGTAATCAAGCTATTATTAAAATTTATGTTGAAATGTCTGTTGAATAACTAACACTCATGGTTACATGCGTGTTATATGTTCTTATTAATCTAAGAGCTTGAATTCTCAATTGATGTCTTATAGTTATTTTATTTTTCATATCAATGTATGCTTATGTTTTACTGTTATGCTTACCAGAGGGTTGTATTACAAATTTATTTTACAAAACATTATTCAAAATGATAAAATCAAACATTTGGGCCAGATTTAAATACAGATGTTGAAATCAATCAAATTTGGATACAATAAAATAATAATAAGACATTAAAACATAAATAAACTGAAAACTATGTAAGTTCCATATTACACATTTTCAAAAACTTCTTTGAAGACAACATTGGTGGTATTGTGCAACTCTTGATTCTCCTTGTCGAGGATTAACATCCTAAGGCCCCTTTTGCTTTTAAATCTTGATATTGCAACATACAATTGACCATGGATAAATACACTCCCAGGCAAATATATTCCAACATAATCCAAATACTGACCTAGAAATTTGTTAATTGTCATAACATAAGAGACAATTATCGGAAATTGCCTTCTTGTTAGCTTAAAAGGCCATGGGGACTGTGTAGGAGTGATATCCATTCTTGGAATGTAAATTAAACTTCCGATGTTTTTTCCAGACATAATCTTTGCTTCAATAACATAGTCTTCCAATCTTGTAACAATAAGTCATGTACCATTGCATAATCCTTCAGATTGATCAATATTTCTTAGAAGCATAATCGGTGTGCCAAATTTTAATTTAATCATGTGATATGGAATACCTGATGTTGTAAGTGTATTCAAAAATTCAGTAGTCAGTATATCAAATGCTTATTGGCATCAGCATCCATTCTGTCAACTGAATCACTACTTAAATATTCCTTCTCATCTCCTGCATTTGAATGGAAGATACATAAATACCATATATACCATGCATTTATATTAAGTACTGATATATAAATAAAATGTTTGAAAAATATAATTAAATCACCTATAATTAATTCTAACATGTACTGATTGATGACATCAACTATTTCCAACATTCTAGCTAAAATTGCTCTACATTGAAGGTTTATGGGTTTTTATAGTTATGAAGAAAGTTTGGATATGTGGATTGAACGGTGGCTTTGAGGGGATCGTCAAAATCTGTGATTAACATATCCTTTATAATATCAATATTTGCATAGCCATCATTGGGTTCAGCCAATTTTCCATCTCCAACCTGTAATATCCAATTTGAAAATTGCTCTAATTCATAAGAATCGGAACAGATGGTGGGTTGCTGAAGAAGCATGTTCTTGGTAAGTCTAAGAACTGTGCAATGATCCCATTGGTATGAATAATATATTCTCTAACATGCCTCGCAAGGAGAAACATATCTATAATCAATGTATTGTTTGATTTCATCGATACTTCTTTGTGCATGTGGAATTGGATCATCACTTTGAACTATGGTAGCAGTGATTTTATCATATCCTTTGTTGATGTACTTGAACAAATACTTAATTGATGTACTTTGATTGTACCATTTCATATTTACATGAGCTTGAAACTTCATTGACAATCCAGAATCGTATGGTATAACATGATGGTTATCCAACTGAATTCCATTTTTTAACACTGAGTAGCCACTATTTCGTCTTCCATAAAGCGGGAAGTCATCATGATCGGCAATTATTTGAGGATGAAACTCTTTTGGAAAATACTTTGAACATTTTCCATCCCTCATACATGGCACAGATCTGTTACCAATACCGCATGGCCCATGTATCATATGGGACTTGACCCAATTATACAATTCAGTGTCGGTATCAGAATTTGGAATTTCTGTAGAAATTATCCTACCAATATCATATGGACTTGGATATTTGTTGGATGGGTGAAGAAAAATTATTAAGTGGGCATGAGGCAACCCCCTTTTCTGAAACTCTATGGTATACATATCTATCAACAAACAAAAAATAGTCAATATTAATTAACATGGTATGGAAAAATCAATGGATATTGATATATTAAATAAGAGGTATGATACTCATCTATCCTTTGCAGATCACATGTCTATTTGTCCATGATGATATCTCTTTTTTCTGCGGTATTGTTAGCTCATAATTTCGACGCCTGGTCTATGTTAGTGGAAGAAATAAAGGAAAGAGAATTTTTGGGAAGTTATGGCAGATTCCGACAGGACAGTTTAGTTATGGGAGTCTAGTCGAAATGACCCTTGTGCCAGAAGGAATGGTTGTTTGGACTTAGAGAAATTTTCTAAGTTTGAAGGTGTAGACATGTCGAGCGCCACTTGTCTTGTTTTAGGAGAAAGACTGTTAGGTGCAGTTATTTGGATTCAATATAAATAAGAGGTCTTAGTGATAGGATTTTGTGTGTGATCAAGTTTGTACAACTCACTCAAATTACTCAAAGTATCCAGTGTGTAGAGAAAAAAGTTATTGAGAAATGTACGTTTGATGAAACACTATTTTCTTACAATTTATTCAAATTCAGTTTATGCTTTTGTCCATAAATTTATCTTATTTATTGCATAAGTTTCTTTTGACGTATTTTACAGCACTTTGTATTACTTTCTTGCAACGTATTTTCTTTTATCGAATTAAACTATTTTTTTTTCAATCATGAATATTGTCGAAGTGTTCATTGTCTTTCAAACTTTGGTTTAAATAACATTAGCACATGTCCTAGGATTCACTGATTGATCCTGTAAGTTAACCAATATTTGGAGACCATTGGTTGTTTACCAATTTTCACGGTAAACAAATTGGCACACCCGGCGGGACAGTGCTAGTGACATTTTTAGCGGTTTTTCTTTTGAGAATTTCTTCTAAATTTTTCACGTTTATTGTATTTCTATTGCTAAACTTTGTTGTATGTTATTGAGAAGTTGTGAAGTAGCCATCACTAGCGAAGATAGACCAATGAGAAGATACACGAGGAAAATGGCAAATCAAAATCAGCCAAACAATCTAAATACTTAAAATACATCAAACAGTGGAGAACCTACTCCAACATCTTCGACAGAGGGAACCACGGTTTCAATACCTATTTCTAAACCGGTACCATCCATGGCAAGTTCGACGCCTATGCAGTCAATTGCCCATTTTAACTTACATTGGGCCATGGGGTCCTCCATTAACCCCCCACCAATAGGAAACACTTCGAACAGACCATTTATGTCTCCAAGTTTCTCCATGCCTTTAGGAAGTCGAGAACAGCCTTACGGAATGCCAACATCCGTGATGGCGAACTTACATAACATGGGGTCAACATTTCTAGAACCCGTAATAAATGTAACTTCCTCATTGCAGGGGTCTAAATCTGGGATTAATAATATGGGTCGAAATGGACAACCCTTAAGGATAGTGTTGCACCCCAAAATTTGACCAACAATTATTTATCCATCTAGTGTTTGAAAATGGATACCTTCATCAGAAAGTTCAAGAGATCCTCAGAGGAGTGGATTGAAACTAGGGTTGTGTGCTTCATAGCTTGAGAGTTGTGGGGGCCCCTCAGATGATTCTGAGACTTTGAGAATGAACTTGATGTTTGGAGAAAGCCTATGAGAGGTCTTGATAAGCCATCATGAAGCCCAGAGAGGTCATTGTGCAAGAATTCAGAAGATTCAACCATGAATGGTAGAATTAGGGTTTTGACTGGGTCAACCCTAGATCAGCTGAAGATTTGGAGAAGGTTGAGACCCAATCCAAGGGCCATGAGATCATGGGATGATGCATAGAGATGTTATAAAGATGATTCCTAGACCAACTCATCATGATTGAGGAGTTTGAGAAGTTTCAAGTCAGGGTTTCCAAGGATTGTCAGTGAAAAAACCCTAATTTGATCCCCATCTTCCAGGCAGTTTTAGCTCTAGATGTGATTGATATCTCATCTTCCCCACAACATTAATGTTGTAGAGCTTGTTCCTAGCTTTAATTTGAGTGGTGGAAGTCCTTGATAGGAGTTGCAGAGCTCAAGTTATGGTTTTGACAAATTACAGGTCAGCAGAGGTGTGTGGATCTGGGTCCTTGAAAGTCACCCAACTTGCAGACAACTTTTGCCCTAGTAGGATGATTCCTATGATCTCATGGTCAACATGAATGTTTAAGGGCATCTTCTTAGCTTTAATTTTAGTGGTAGAAGTCCTTGATAGGATTTGTGGAACTCAACTTATGGTTTGAACAAGACAGGGGTATTTTGGTCATTTGTCAGTTATAGGTCATTTTAGCCAATGCCTAAAACTCCTATTTCCAAGCCTCAAATGGAAAAACTCAAAACATGAAAGTTGTTCAAAATGTGATTTTAAGTCTAGAAAGAAGGTCATGAATTGTTGGAAAAGCTCATAGCATGGATTTTCATGATTGGTCAAAAATGAACTAAAAGTGGCATATAAGTTTGAAAAGTTGAATTTGAAAATTGATTTGAGAGATCCACAAAGCCAAAATAGGTCATCCAATATATCATTTTGATTGGAAACATCATTTTGAGAACATTGGTTTAGATAGAATTTTTATTTGAGGCTTTAAAATGGGTGATGCTTTGTTATTTTGTTACTTGCATTTGAAGTCACCCTTGGAAATCCTAACACAAGGCAAGGAAAAAGCTTGTAGTGGCTTATAACACTTCAATATGTCATATGAGGAGATTTTAAGGTCATGTTGCAAGACTTAATGCATAGTGCATGAGATTTTCAAGTTATCATCACATGACATTTTCAACACTTTCTAGATCTTTCTAGATGAATCCAAGAGTTTCCTTCCATCATTATAAAAAGAGTGAATCACAAGGAGGAAAAGGTTGGTGATAGCAAGAGGATTCAGAGGGGAGAGAAAGAGAGAAGCAGCCATTGAAGAGGTTTCTTCAAATTGAAGCAATTCTGATTTCCCTCCATTGTAGATCTTCCCCTTCATCACAAGTGCAAACAGAAGGCTATTGATCATCCAAGGACCATTTGGAGGAAGTTTCAAGGCCTGAAAGCAACCACACGAGTCTCCACCATAACCTCTTGACAGGTTCTTTCTCTTCTCCCTTTCACCTTAATTATGCATAGATAGATCGCATATTAGGTTTAGAATGGCTAGGCTAGACTAGGTGGTGAAATTCTGAAGGTTAGAGCCAATTCCATGGAGTCCCATAACAGGTGCAAGAATCTTGGATGATCAAGAACCAGCTGTTTAGGGAGTTTTGATTAGCATGGATTAGGTTAGATTAACTAGGGTAGCATGTAGAACAAATTAATGTCCTTAGGTGGAAGCTTTATCGTGGTTGATCTCAGATGACCATGGTAGTACCCAAGATTTGATGCATTCTGTTTGGACGATTCAAAGGGAATTAGGGAAAATTACACGTATCACCTTGTTCCTTGCATTGAGTAGAGCACTTTTGCAGTTGGAAGTTTTGCATTTCATCAAGTTTGGGGAGAGAACGCACGGCTGGAAGTTTGATGCATGAGGGGCTGCGTCTGAAAACCCTAGGGTTTTGTTTGGGACGATGGCTGTCCATCGTTGGATTCGTCCTCAAAATTTGACTAATTCGCTGCATCCAACGGCTCAGAGTGAAGGAAGAAACGGAGGGAAATTTAAAAACCAAAACGCAGCCGTTTGGTTTAGTGACTGAGTCTGGGCTTAAGTCAGTTTGCTTCCTGCACCCCCCACGCGCATTGGCCCAATTGAAACAACTGCCTATCCTTTCTATTGCCACCCCCCTCCCTTTTATATTATTTTTATTTGTTTTATATCTTTTGCAACCTTATAAAATTCATAAAAAATTGATAACTGATGATTTTTTACTCATTCTTTTTTCTATGATTAGATAATTTTGTGTAGAAAAATATAAAAATAAAAATGAAATTTTATTTTTAATGTGGAATTTTTGGTGGTATTTTCTTTTAAATAGGGTATTTTCTTTCCTTTAGTTTATACCTTATCTTGCAAGAATTGTTTTAGGACCTTCCCTTAGGTTTTTTAATTCATTCTTTTTTTGTGTAATTAGATATTGAACCCTAGTTTCATGTAGGATTTATCTCTTGATTTTAGAAATTAAATTTGATGTAGTTTGATTGTTAGACATTTAGGTGCTCTAATTAGGGTTTTAAGTTGTATAGGTAGACTTGAACAAATTTGTTTTTGGGGTTTATAGTCCAAATTAGTGTATGGGGAATATATGGGTTAAGGGTAAGTATGTATAGAATCCCCTAGAATTTTGTTAGAATATTGTATGGTGTTTTAGTATTTTTCATTGATTTTTGAATGTATGGATAGTATGTGTGTTGCTTAAAGGCATAAGTTGTATTGTTGTGTTTTCTTTCCTTCTCTGTTGAGTGTGTGAGCTTTGAGGATTGAGTTGAAGACCTTGTGGATCATCATGGAAGCTTTGAAGACCTTGCAGAGGAGTTTAGCATAGCTTTTGTTGTTTGGTTTATAGGTTTATAGGTGCATAGGCAGAGCCCTAGATAGAATATTTTGTTCAATAAACAAGGAGTGTCTTGTTCACCTCCTTTCTTCTCTATGACACAGAGTCCCTTAAGGGTATTCACCTCTCTCCTTTGGAGGGATTAGTGACCTTGTCCTGTAAGGTAGAACTTTGAGAGAGCCTTTCCTTTGATGTTAAGTTCTCAATGGCATCCTTTGGAAGTCAGTGAGCACTGCAACATCCTCACCTCATCTTATTGACTGAATCTTGTTTGCTGGAGCATTGGAGCCATTGAAGATAGAAGCTGAGGCCTTGAAGAGGATGATTCCTTGAAGATTATTGAAGTCTGAAGACTTTGTGAAGATCAAGTTGATGCCTGAAGATCCCTGAAGATAGTGAAGCCTGAAGGTGGAGCTGATCAAAGGAGCTGAAGCTCAAGGGAGAAGATGAGTTGATACTCATGTTGTAGGGTTGATACCTGGAAAGCAAGTGATCTCTGAAGTCTGAAGACTGGGTTGCTGCTGG